TTTTTTTTTTTTCCCAGTTTATGTATTTGGTACAGGATCTCACTATGCAGCTTGGATTCATAGTGATCCTCCTGCGTTCCAGCCTCCTCAGTGCTGGGATTACAGGCATGTACCACCATACCCAGACTCTGTCGAGCCCCTGGGTGGGGCAGGCATAGCATACAGGAGGACCGAGGATCCTGGTCCCTGCGCTTGCCAAAGTAGGCACTTAGTCCACTGAGCTATCTCACCAGCCCCAGATTTAGTGCAATTCTGATCAAAATTCCAATAGCATATCTCACAGAATTAGAGAAAACAATCCTAAAATTCATGTGGAACCAGAAGAGATCTAGAATAACAAAGACATTTCTGGGCAACAAACGCAAGGCAACAACCCCTGACTTGAAATTATACTATAAAGCTACTGTGATTTAAAAAATGTATTCACAAGAAACAGATCTGAAGATCAATGTGACAGATTAGGAGATGCAGAAACAAGTCAAGATGTAGTCTTTGTGTGTGTGTGTGTGTGTGTGTGTGTGTGTGTGTGTGTGGAACCGGGCATTAAACTCAGGAATTCAGGCCCTTGCGATTAATCATGTTATCTTTGACAAAGGGGCCTAACACAATCATTACAAGAAAGATGGACCTTTTAATAAATGGTGCTGGAAAACTGGCCCTGCACATGCTGAAGATTAAAATTGAATTTTTAATCCAATTTTAAATCTGTGTCTTTCCCATTCACTAAATTAAATTAAAAATGGGTCAAACATCTAAATATTAAAACAGAAACATTAAATATGCTAGAATAGGTAAAACTCTTGAGGACATTGATGTAGGCAAAAATTTTATGAATGAAACCGTGATTGCACAAAAGCTGTCACAAAAACAACTGGGGTCTCATCGTACTAAAAAGCTTTTGCACAGCAAGAGAAATCACCAGCGGAGTGAAGAGACAACCTACAATGTGAAAAAAATGTTTGCCAGTTCATCAGACAAAGAATTGCTAACTTGAGTATATAAAGGGGGCTGGCCAGATAGCTCAGCAGATTAAAGTGTCTGCTTAGGCAGACACAGGGACCATGGTTCAATCTCTGGTGTAGTGTGCCGGCTCTGCCCCCAGGGATGGCTGAGACAGCGACTGAGACCAGGTGTGGTGGCGCATGCCTGTAATCCCAGCGTTTGGGAGGCTGAAAACAGGAGGATCACTATGAGCCCGATTTGTGTAGTGGGACCCTGTAGACCCTGTTCTAAATACATTAAATAAATAATAAAATAATTAATTAAATTAAAAAAGAATAAAGAGCTAAAAAAATCAGACCTACCAATTTAAAAATGTAAACCAAAAATTGGCATCTGAGATGAATACATACATTTTAGGTGAAGAAATGCAAATAGCAAATAAATATATGAAAAAACATTCCACATCACTGGTTATTTGAGTGATACAAACCAAAACAACACTGAGATTCCATCTCACCCTGGAAAAAATTGCTATTGTCAAGAAATCAATGAATAAGAAATGCTGGTGGGGCTTTGGGGAAACGGAACCCTTTTCCACTGTTCGTGGGAGTGTAGAGCAGTACAACCCCTGTAGAAATCAGTATGGAGTTTCCTCAAAAAACTAAGATTGGTGGTCCCATTTGACCCAGTTATTCCATTTCAGGGTATCTTCCTAGAAAAATTTGGAACATACCACAGCAATATATGTGCACCCATGGCAGCACAATTTGTAATAGCTAGATCTTGGAAACAACCCAAATGCCCATCAGCTGAGGAATGGATGAAAATAAATGTTTTTTAAAAATAGAATAGAATACTACTCAGGCATTAAGAAGGATAAACTGGAGAGTTTTATAGATAACTGGATGCAACTCCAGACCATGCTCAGAAGGGAAATAAACCAGATGCACATGTGCAGACATCATATCCTGTCCTTATTGTGAGAAGCAGAGAGAGTAAATAAGATCCAAAATGTTATATATATATATATATATATATATATATATCAATTGTTCCACAAAGGATTATAATGACTAAGATAGTTATACTATTAATTTCTCTTAGTTAACTGAAAAGAAAGGTTTTCCAAGCATGGTGATGCAGGCCTGTAATCCCAGCATTTGTAAGGCTGAGACAGGAGGATCTTTGCAAGTTTGAGACAAGTGAGCTCAGCCTGAACTGCATAGTGAGACCCTTCTCAAAAAGTCAAAAAAGGGGCTGGGGAGATGGCTCAGTGGAATAAGCGCTTCCCCCGCAAGCGCAAGGGCCTGAGTTCAATCCCTGGTTCTGCAAAAGAACGAACGAACGAAAAGGGATTGTTATGCTAATATTGTTTAGACAATTAAATGCTTATATCTTATACTCTGAATAACTAATTTAAAGATAACAGTACACAATGTATTAAATATTGTTACCCTCACATTATCTTGCTTTGAATTTGTTTTTTCTCTTTAAAAAATAAATCAGTAGCTAAAATTTTAATAAAACCAAAGCATCTGTTTTTATAGATGAGCCCTATCAGTCTTAATCCTGCTTTTTCCGTGCTGCCCAGGCAGGGTCCATACAGTGTTGTTCTTCATTCCCATAGTAACTTAAAGGGAAACTTCACTGTCCGGAGCCCTTGATGTCCTGCAAATGAAGGAGGAGGACGTCCTCAAGTCCCTTGCTGCAGGAACCCACTTAGGTGGCACCAACCTGCATTTCCAGATGGAGCACTAGATCTATAAAAGGAAAAGTGATGGAATCTACATCATAAATCTGAAGCGGACTTGGGAGAAGCTCCTCCCGGCAGCTCGAGCCATAGCGGCCATTGAAAACCCTGCTGACGTCAGCGTCATAGCCTCCAGGAGCACCGGCCAGCGGGCTGTGCTGAAGTTTGCTGCTGCCACTGGAGCTACTCCTATTGCTGGCCGCTTCACTCCTGGAACTTTCACTAACCAGATCCAGGCAGCCTTCCGAGAGCCACGTCTTCTGGTGGTTACTGACCCCAGGGCTGACCACCAGCCCCTAACGGAGGCATCTTAGGTCAATCTGCCAACCATTGCTCTGTGCAAACAGATTCTCCTCTGCGCTATGTGGACATTGCCATCCTGTGCAACAATAAGGGAGCTCACTCTGTGGGTCTGATGTGGTGGATGCTGGCCCGGGAGGTGCTGCGCATGCGTGGCACCATCTCCCGTGAACACCCTTGGGAAGTCATGCCTGATCTCTACTTCTACCGGGATCCTGAAGAGATTGAAAAAGAAGAGCAGGCTGCTGCTGAAAAGGCTGTGACCAAGGAGGAATTTCAGGGAGAATGGACTGCACCAGCTCCAGTTCATGGCTGCTCAGCCTGAGGTCACAGACTGGTCAGAGGGCGTGTAGGTGCCCTCTGTTCCCATTCAGCAGTTTCCTACTGAAGACTGGAGTGTTCAGCCGGCCACAGAAGATTGGTCTGCAGCCCCCACACGCAGGCCACTGAGTGGGTAGGAACCACCGCCGAGTGGTCTTGTGCTGTTCTGCCGATGCTTAAGCAAAATGGGAATGAGGCTGATGAAAAATAAAACAATTTCTAAGAAAAAAAAAAAACTTAATCCTACATACATTCTTAAAGAGAACAGGAGAAAGTAAGTACTCAACTCCCAGTAGGAGGTGCTTGTAAAGCAAACCAAAGATCATATAAGAATGGAAGTTCACAAGCATAGATGAAGGAATCCAAACAAAATCATAATAAATCAAAATCAGCTAATATCTGAAAGAGCTAAGGGAAAAGTTGCTTGTCCACACAGTAGGCTAAGGTGGGAGGGTCACAAGTTGAAGGCCAGATGGACAATTTAGGGAAATCCTATTTTGTTTTATTTTATTTTACTTGAGGGGTCCTATTTTAAAACAGAGAATGAAAAAGATGAGGTATAGCTCAGTGGTATGATGTCTCTGGTTTCAATCCTCAGTGTAACAAAAGAGCTGAAAGAGAAATCAAACAAACAAAAGAATTGAGAATAGCTCAAGTTGTCAAGAAAGAAAAGGATGTTTTCAATGGGATGCAAAACGCATCTATCAAGAAGGATAAGGGCTGGGGAGATGGCTCAGTGGAATAAGCACTTCCCTGGCAAGTGCAAGGGCCTGAGTTCAATCCCCGGTTCTGGGGCTGGAGAGATGGCTCAGTGGTCTAAAGCACCTACTTGAAACAAGCTTGGCAAAGCACAGGGACCGCGGTTCGATCCCCAGCACCACATGCCAGCCAGACCCGCCCCCTGGTGGGCTGAGCTGGCCACACACACACACAATAAATAAATGTAATAAATAAAAATAAATAAATATTAAAAAAAAAATCCCCGGTTCTGAAAAAAAAAAAAAAAGAGGAAGAATGGAAGAATAATAAAGTCAGCTACATTAAAATTCAAAAAATAATATAAAATCCAAAACCTGTTCATTTTTTAAAAAGCTGCAAAGTGGGAAAAGAAGCCAGGCATGATGGCACACACTTGTAATCCCCAAAGTCAGGAGGCTGAAGCAGGAGGACTTCCGAGACTTCAAGGCCAGCTGGACTACATAGTATGTTCAGGGCCAGCCTGAACTTCATAGCAAGACTGTCTAAAAAAAATAAATTAATAAAATAAAGGACCAGGGAAAACTGCCTGCCTGGCAAGTTCAAGGTCCTGAGTTTGATCCTAGGTAACAAAACCAAACAAAGAAAACCCCGCAAATTCCTACCGAGCAGATGTAGTCCTAACATTCAGAAGGCTGAGGCAGAAGGATCCCAGTGAGTTCAAGCAGTTGTGAACCATAGTGAGAGCCTGTCTAGACAGACAGGGTAACATGGACCTCATTTTCTGAGCTATGACTGAAGAGGCTGCAGAGGCCCCCCACCCCACCCCGCAGCTCTAGGCCTCCTGCTGAGCGACTGTGAGTGGTCCCTATGTGAAGGAACCATTCTCACAGCCCACAGAGTGGGAGTCAGAGTGAGGGTCGCTCTGACACCAGTCCAGCATGCCCTGAGGTGTGGGTTTGGCATTTTTCTTCTCTACCTTTCTCTGCAGTTGGTGGCAGCGAGCCTTCCCGTTCCTCCTGGGAGATGCACCTGTCCAAGGGATTGCTGCTCATCTTCGTGGTGGATTCAGCCGATCACCATCGGCTGCCAGAAGCCAAGAAATACCTTCACCAGCTCGTCGAAGCCAACCCAATCATTCCTCTGGTTGTGTTTGCACACAAACAGGTAAGAAGCTGTGCGAAAATCCCAAATAGGCTCCTACTGTAATCCCAGCTACTAGGTAAGCCAAGGAAGGAGGATTATAAATTCAAGGCCAGCCTAGTCAACTTAATAATTCCTGTCTCAGAATAAATACTTAGATATTTTGAAGAGCAATGGCGTGTAGCTCCCTGATAGAGTCCTTGCCTAGTATCATGTTTGGGGCCCTGGGTTCAATCCCCAGCACCACACACACACACACACACACACACACACACACACCCCGCACACGCACACCGCACACGCACAGGCACACGCACACACACTACAAAATAGAGTTTGTACAGGATACAACAATTTTAAGTCTAGTATGTCCCCAGAAGAATTGAAAACAGTGATTTAAAGAGATATTCATACATCCATGTTCATAGCAGCATTATTTACAGTTTCCAAGAGATGGAAGCAACTGAATTCCATTCACTAATAAATGGATAAACAAAATGTGGTACATGTTTATGGTGGAATATTACTTAACATTCAAAAGAAAGGAGATTCTGACACCTGCTAAAATACTGCTCAGCCAGGACAACATTATGCTAAATGAAATAAATCATAAGTGACAAATACTGTTAAATCTGAATACGCAGGCTCTGCTTACAAATTCATAGAGACACACAGTAGAATGGGGTCGCCAGGGGCTATGGGTTGAAAGAATGAGGAATTATACTTATTTATATATAGAGAGTATCAGTGTATCTATTGATAGTACAGAGTTTCAGTTTACCAACATGAACGGGATTTGGGGGATGGATGGTGGTGACGGTAGTGTCACAATGCGTATGCACTTTTTTTTTTTTTTTAAAAGTACTGGAGATTGAGCTCTGGGCCTTAACACTGAATGACCTCATAAGATCTTTTGTAAAATTTTGAGACAGGGTCTCTTAAATTGCTAAATTGTCCAGGCTGGGTTGGAACTCGAAATCCTCCTGTCTCAGCCTCCCAGAGTGCTAGAATTAAAGGCATGTACTACCTTCAAGACAGCAAAAAAAAAATTTTTTTTTTTTTTTTTTTTTTTGAGACAAGGTCTTACTATACAGTTCGGGCTGGCCTTGAACTGGCGGTGATCCTCCTGCCTCGGCCTCCTGAGTGCTGGGATTAGAGGCATGCATCACCATGCCTAGCAAGTGGCAACTTTTGTTGCATGTACTTCATATAATAAAGAGATGAAAAAATTAAATTTCCATAAGATTGTAATACTAAAGCCCATTTCTTGCTTGGCAGGTTTGCAAATCACAGAGTAGCTCAATTGCTGCCTTTTCCCTCACAACTGCTGTGAGAGAAAGTTTATGGACAAAAACTAAGTAATTACAAGTAATGAACCGCATGCAGTAGGCACCTATGCTGAAGTCCATTGCAGACCCAATTCAGCAGATTTTGACATTTTTCTGGCACCTAAAATGAAAGCATACTTCTTTTTCATTTTTGCTTTTAAATGTAGCAACTTTTGTTGTTGTTTTTGCATCACTGGGAATTGAACCCAGGGCCATCACACTGAGCTATATCTCTGGGCCTTTTTCATGTTTACATTTTGAGACAGGGTCTTGCTAAGTGGTTAAATTTTCCAAGCTGGGCTCAAACTTACAGTCTTGTTGCTTCGGGCTCCCAGAATGCTGGGGTTGTGGACCTGTAATGGAGCCTGGAATGCTAAATGGAGCATCTTTTTTTTGCACACTGGATTGAACCAGAGCTTTACACTGATGTACAGCCCTAGCCCCTTTTTTACTTTGAGATAAGGACTTGCTTAGTCACTAAGTTGCCTGGGCTGGGCTTGAACCTTCTATCCTCCTCTGTCAGTCTCCTACATGTGGTTTAAGTAGAATACCTTGAATATCATAAACTGTGAAGATTTAGGATTGGAAGTATAGCTCAGTGGCAGTACACATGCTTAGCATGTGCAAAGCCCTGAAAAAGAAAAAGGAGAGGAGGGAAGGCAAGGTGGAAAGAGGGAGAGGAGAGGAGGGGAAAGAAAAGAAGCTGGGCTTGGTGGTACATACCACTCTGAGAGGCTGAGGCAGGAGGATCAGAAATTTGAGCCTAGCCTGGGCAGCTTAGCAATTTGGGGGGAAGTTGTCTCAAAATTTTAAAAAGGGTTAGAGATGTAGCTCAGTATGAAGGCCCTGGGTTCAATCCCTGAACCCCACCGCTCCCCCCAAGAAAGGTGTGGGGGAAAAGAGAGAGAGAGAGAGAGAGAGAGAGAGAGAGAGAGAGAGAGAGAGAGGAGGGAAACTACAAAGATTTAGAAGATTATGGACATGTGACAACCACTCCAGTATCCTGGTGACATATTGTTTTATTTTGCTATGGTTTCTGTTTTTATATTGAGGATTTCCATTTTTGTCACATTTGCCAATACTTTCTTTTGTGGTCCGTGGCTGTATTAGTCACTTTCTTGTCCCTGGGACTAAATGTCACACCTATGGCTTACGTGGGGAGAGGTTTATTTTAGCTCATGGTTTTCAGAGAACTTAGCCCACGGGCCTGGCTCCAAGGCTGGCAGAGGGCCAAGTGGAAGAACAAGAATACTGCTGTACGCTGGCAGCCAGGAAGCAGGCAGAGAAGGGAGGAGTGGGGTGAGAACACGCCCTTCCAGGACACACCCTAAGGACTCCCTACTCCTGCCAGGCCCCACCTGTAAACACATGAGTGTTTTGGGGGACACTTTTTCTGTGTCTGTGTGGCCAACTCAGCCCGGGATAGGGCTGGCGCAGCATATGGTGCTGGGAATGGAACCGCAGTCTCTGTGCTGTTGCTTAAGCAGGTGATTTAGACTGCCAAGCTATCTCACTAGCCCTGGGGGACACTTTTGATCAAACCATAGTAGTGTCTGTCTTCATTAAATTGAATAAACAAAGCCATTTGTGGACAAGTGGGTAACTGTTGCTTGATCTTAATGATTAAAGACTTGTATATCTGAATTTAATATATCTTTATTTAGATTCCTTTTGCCAGACTAGTTTATATTTTTATATAACTCACTGGTTCAAGTTAGTTACTAGATATTGACTTTTTTATTTTAAAGGAAAAAAACAAAATTTCAAAATAAGATAATAGGATAACAATGCTTAATATACTGCATATTGTTTTCTTTAAATTAGTTACTCAGAATACAAGATATCGGCATTAATTGTCCAAATAATATTAGCACAAACTAGATTTTGGCATTCAAAAGTCATGATATTTACTCTTTGAGTGATGACCCTATTTTTTTTTTTGTGATGACCCCGTTAAGACACAATTATGTAGGTGCAGACGAACTCTTGTATTTGCACCGGACGTGCTATATCTTTACCAAGAGCTCTCCTCCTACCTCTGCCCCTTTTCCCTGTTTCTTCCTCTCCAATTCCACCAATGAACTTATTAACCCAGGATATCAGCCTTCTGTTACAGGTTCTCTTACTACCGTTATGAAACTTTCCTGCAGGCTCTTAGACTACATGAGCTTCGGTTTCAAGCAGGCTATATACCATGCCTCCCAACACCCAGAGGGCAAGCAGCCCTGACCACCACCCAGAACAGCACATCCAGAAAGGTCTCTCAGGCTCTCACTGATGGAATTTGGTAGTTTTTACTGGTACAGGAAAAAACACAAGACTCAGTATTGGATGATTTCCAGACATTTCCAGGGGTAAAGGCAACCCCTGCTTGGGCAGACACAGTGGCACTCACTCAGCTGGACTCCTAGCTCCTCCAGAGGCTGAGGGGGAGGCCTTCAGTTATGACTGACCTGGACAACACGGGAAGACCCTTTGTCAAAATGAAAACAAAAGAATGTGTAAAGCAACAAAATGCTAATTAAAAATGCAATTTCAGATATGGAAATGCCAACATTTTTGGGACTGAAAAACAATTTGCATAAAAGAACAGCAGAGGTCATTTGCATAAAGGCATCCATTGTTCCATATGCACAGAGCTGTGCTTTTCCCTTGGCGGTGCACTCTGAGTGTAGACGGCAGCACCCAGCACGAACCTGGGCATCTCGGCCTTTTTCATCTCGGGATCCTCTGTTTGTAAGCCTTTTCTGTCTTTTTATGCCTCTTTCCCCTCTTGGTCTTGCACTCTCAGGGATGCCTTCTCTCAACCAGCTTCTCTGGTCAGTTCTCCGTCTCCTCCTATCCCCACAAATTTAATCCACATTTTTTGTTCAGTAGAAATAATGATTAGAAATGGTATCACAAGGGCCAGTGAGATAGCTCAGCAGACAAAGTGCCTTATCTGGCAAGTGCAGGGACCAGGGTTCAATCTCTAGTCCTGCATGCCATGCCAGCCCCACCCCTGGGGCACTCTGAACTAGCAGCCGAGTCCAGACATGGTGGTGCATGCTTGTAATCCCGGTTCTGGGGAGGCTGAAAACAGGAGAATCACCATGAGTCCAATCTGCATAGTGAGACCCTGTACCAAATATACAAGTGAAAAAAAAAAATCAAAGCAATGGTATCACAACAGCAAGTGCTATAAAATCAGTAAAATATGATCTAAACCAAAAAATCTTAAAAGAAGGAAAATGGGAAAGCAAAAATAGATTGGCAGCACTACTCAGAAAGTAGAGGTATTGGGGGTCGGGGAGATGGCTCAGTGGAATAAGCGCTTCCCTGGAAAGCGCAAGGGCTTGAGTTCAATCCCCCGGTTCCGTCAAAAAAAAAAAAAAGAAAGTAGAGGTATTATGTTGGTTCAACTTTATTCTAGAAAATATCTTTTTGATAAAGTCCTTGACATTGGCATAATTCTGATGGAAATGTTTATATTTCAACAACCATTGGAGTCGTAATGCTTGAGTCACATGTGTTAACAAAAGATCCCCTTTTTCTATTCTTTTCCCATCCCATGAAGGATCTGGAGGCAGCCTATGACATTACAGACATCCACGAAGCCCTGGCGTTGTCTGAGGTGGGCAATGACAGGCAGCTGTTCTTGTTTGGGACTCAAGTGACAGAGAAGGAGATCAGCGCAGAGGTCCCCTCCACCATCGAAGACGCCAAACACCTGATTGCATACCTGGCTGCCGGCAGGCCATGACCCGGCCGTGGCCCACAGGTTTTCAGCGCTGAGTGTCCTCAGGCAGCGCTGCCTGGCAGGCTCAAGCCAGAGGTTTTCACCTTCAAATAAAAGATAAGCCATTTCCTATCTTCTTCCTGCATGGCACATACACAAAGACAACACTAATTCACTCAGGGTGTCCACTTAGATTTTGAACTTTAAAAAGTATTCATAAAACAATATATCTGAGAGGACTTAAGAAACTTTATGTTCTTTCTTTTTTTTCCCCTTCTGGGCAGGGTGGGCAGGCTGGAGATTGGCTTAACTAAACGTGCACTTTCTCGATGAGCTGTACCCCAGCCTGGGATTAGGATTTCCACTCAATAAAAGTAAATGAACATTAGTAAACCATCATCCTTTGTGATTTTTTTCAGTGACATTAAATTTATGTTAAAACATTTCACCAGATGTGGTAGTCAACACCTATAATCCCAGGCCTCGAAGGTAAGGCAGGTGGATCACTATCACTGTGAGTTCAAGGCCAGCCTGATCTACATAAACAAGTTTAAGGCCAACCTCAACTGCACAGTGAGACCCTGTCTAAAAAAAGGGGGAAGAAGAGGAAAAAGAGAAATAGAATTACTTGCATTCAGGAAGCTAAGAAAGTTAAAGGCCAGCAAGATAGCTCAATGGACTAAAGCACCTGCCTAGGCAAGCTTACGCAAGCTCAGGTACCAAGGTTCAATCCCCTGCACCACATGCCACACCAGCCCTGCCCCCAGGGCGGGCTGAGCCAACCAGCATCTGGGCATAGTGGTGCATCCTTATAATCCCACTGTTGGGGATGCTGAAAGCATGAGGATCACAAGTCCAAGCTGTGTAGAGAGTCCCTGCAACAGCCATATACATTAAAAAAAGAGAAAGAAGGACTTAAACTTCAACACATCAATACTTGATGGAAGATAACTGTTCTTATGCCTAAGATGTTCGATATTTAGACAGATAGGGTAAATCGAACTGCATATGTTGCAGGGTTATAATAAGCTTCTCTTCTGGAGGGTTAACAACCTAAGTTTGCAGATCAAAAATTGGAGAAAAGGAAGGGCTGCAAGGTCTGCCAACATTTTGGCCCTAGCCTTTCAAGGTCAGTGAAGACTGAGGACATAGGAGAACCTGTACTGTAATATCATGTAACTCAGTTGTGCCCCAAATTTTCTGATCAAGGAGATTATGGGGCCACAGAGGAATGTGATTGATGATGTATAGTGTGCCCAAGGAGAGTCACATGGAAAAAAAACATTCTCTCAGGCTTTCACAGAGAGCAAGTTGGTCAAGCATTGGCCGTGACTCATCCACATGGCTGACATTGACAAAGGATCTACAAAATGCAGTACAGGGTTACAGGATAAATCCTGAGGGTACTTGACTGACCTTATCAGATACAAAAGTTACATTTCTTGTTATATAAATCTTACTTTATCTTGGCCTTAACCATCCAGCAGAAAAGTATAAAAACGAGGTATATAAAGTAAAGGCATATTAATATGCTGAGCTGTAAAAGGCTCAAGTCAACAACTTCTGCAGACAACTGCTACTATTGTGGACTACTGGACTGTGTTGGATTGTTTTGCTGAATTAAAGCGCCTATAATATTTATTTATTTTTTAAAATTTTATTTATTTATTTATGTGTGTGTGTGTGTGTGTGTGTGTGTGTGTGTGTGGCAAGCTCAGCCCACCAGGGGGCGGGCTGGCTGGCATGTGGTGCTGGGGGATTGAACCGTGGTCCCTGAGCTTTGCTAAGCTTGTTCTAAGTAGGTGCTTTGGACCACTGAGCTATCTCACTAGCCCCGCCTATAATATTTAGATGCCAATAAAATACCCATCTCTTACAGGACTGAATGGGAGAGGAGGGATACAGAGGAAGGATCATTTTGTATTTGTATATACAGAATAGTTAGGATAGCTGTATGGCTGCTTTTGCTTGGTTCAGTGAGAGGAAGGATTTGTAGTAGTAGTGTTTGGACAGGATGTCCTGGCTGCTTCTTGTGCTGTGGATGACTGCTGAGAAGATAATAATGTGCAATGCATTAATTATTGAAAATGTCCTATTAATCAGCTTGGAAAGTGTCTCATTGATATTTGTTTCTCAATAGAAAAAAAAAACAACAGAAAGAAAGTAAGTTAAGAAAGACTTAACCTCTGGGAGCATGTTACATAACAGGAGAACCCAGTGACACTTAAAAAAAATTTTTTTTTTTTCGGGGCTGGGGAGATAGCTCAGTGGAACAAGCGCTTCCCTGGCAAGCTCAAGGGCCTGAGTTCAATCCCTGGCTCTGCCAAAAAAAAAAAAATTTTGTTTTCAATCTTGAGACAAAAGGTGGGTGTGATGGCATCCACTGTAATCCCAGCACCCAGAAGGCTGCAGCAGTAGGATCTTGCAAGTTTGAGACCAGCTTGGGCTACAAAGTGAGCTCAAGGGCAGCCTAAACTACATAGAGAGACCCTATCTCAAAAAGACACACAAAAAAATCTTGAAACAAGATCTGCTATATAGTTCAGGCTGGTCTTGAACTAATGGTGTTCCTCCTACTTCAGGCTCCTAAGTACTGAGATTACAGGTGTGTGCCACCAGTGGAGAATTGGTTTGTTTTTTTTTTTTCAGGAAACAGTTACTGAGATGCTGAGAATGAGTAAAGCAGGCATCCTACACTTGAAATGCTCTCAGGCTAGCAACCCAGGTGCAAGTCACGGGGGTTCTAAAGGAGATGGCACTCTGCCAAGGCACAAGGGTGCATGTCTAAGAGGCTGTCTGGCCTGTAGTCTTGCCACATGAGGTGGTACTGATCACCTTGGAGAACTTACATAGAGAGGAGGTGTTATTTTCAGAAGAAGAAAGAGATGGTAGGCAGGAAAACAAGTGGAATAATGACAGCTATCCATAGTCATATTCACTGTCCTTGGTATAGGAATACACTACACAGAAAAAGTCCTTGTCCTTAGGGAGCTTCTATTCTAGCTAGAGCAAGACATAGAAAAATAAGCAGATGAATCACCTGGGGAATGGTTGAAAAAGATGTGGTATTTTTATACAATGGAGTATTACTCAGCTATAAAGAATGATAAACTCCAAGTCTTTATATTGAAGTGGATGCCACTTGAAGATATACTCATAAGTGAAATAAATCAGACACACATGTGTAAATTTTATTGTCTCCCTAGTATAAGAACTCAAAAGAAGAAATACAAACAGAAAGGTACAATACAACTAAAAGGAAGCAAGAACTTGAGGACTAACTAATTAAGAGAAGG